GGTTGGTGACCGATTTTGTCAATTTTAGGACTAAATGTGCCCTATAACTCTTGACTGGAGATGACCTAAGTTTCATTATTGGAGATTGAGACCGTGTAAAAGGTTGCCAATGGAGACAAGCTTGTTGATTTATTAATTAGTGAGATTTATTTATTATGTCGAATAGTTTTATATTTCGATGTCCATAACTGGATGAGGTAGAAAGTGGAAGATGTGTGGGTTAGGGTTGTTGGTACCTTGGAGGTAATAAAACTATATCCATTTTGATGAGACAAAAGAAGGTGATTGTTCATATCAAATCTTGGTATGTAATACAAATCAAAGACAATCAATTTGTTAATTGTGAGTGACCAGTGAGCTGCCTGCCTCCAATCATCAACAGGAAATTAATGGAAGAAGTTAATCCAGGTGCTTCAAAAGCCAACTACGTTCCTTTAGAAACTTTGATGAAAGGGGAGCTGGATAGCTTGTCTCCCCCTTCCTCTGGGTGCAATATCTACACAGTTCTTGATAGCATACACCGTGTGAATCAGAACATTTTCAAAGAAGATGTCAAAAAGTCAACATCAACAATAATAGTAAAAAAATAGACAACATTAGTGAAATGACACGTGACATATAATTAGGTGTATGATCTGTTCATTTAGACTGTTTAATGAAATACACTTTCCCTGACAATAATAAAACAGCAGTAATCCCCATGATGCACCTAATAGGTTGATAGAATCACTTTGCAGTTTCAATCTTATTTCTTAGCAATTCATATAAGGGTAATGCTGGGGAGATTAAATTTGTAGACAAAATTTTGTAAACTAAATGACATGTAAGTTAATTATTGAATTATTAATTAAGCATTGATTAATGTGCTCAGTCATATTTGTGATACATAATTTAGTTTGCTAGCTTTATCAACAAATGTAGTCTCTTTAGCATTACCCTTCATATAATAATAACACTGAGGAATGAAAGTGTGCATACGTACATAGAAGTACACGTGAATCAGAATATCTTCAAAAGAGATGTTAAAAAGTACACGTGAAGATTTGCCTCCCCTTTTCTCTGAGTGCAGTATCTACACAATTCCCGAATAGCATACGCCATGTGAATCAAAATATCTTCAAAAGAGATATCAAAAAGTCGACTTCAACAATAACAGTAAAAAAAACAACAATAGTGAAAGGACACGTGATAGATAATTAGGTGTATGGCAATTCGTTTAGTCTCTTTAAGGAAATACACTTTCCCTGACAATAATAAAACAACATAATCCCTATCATGCATCAGATAGGCAGATAGAATCGCTTTGAAGTTTCAATTTTTTTTTTTTTTTAACAAATGATAGTATCTACACTAAGATGGTGAACTTAAGGCCTCTCACTTAAAAATGAAGAGGAATATTACTACACCGTAATACTAAGTAACTCTATTTCTTAACAATTCATCTAATAATAACACTGAGGAATGAGGAAGTGGGAATTTGTTCTTGAGCCTCTAGAGAAAAGTGGCTTAATGGGCCTTATGACCATGATGGGCCCAAGGGACAACATATAGAAATGTTGGAATCCACAAGGCCCGATTCCTTACTTTGTATTGATATTGTGTTCATTCAATTACCCATTTGGCCCTACCATTTTTAATCACAAATCGTTGCCTTACAAAGTTCAAATAACTGGCTGAATGAAGGCGACATTCCAAAATTATAATAGTGCTCAAGATACACCTTACCTCATTTGTATTGTTGTAAGCATCTAACACAATTTTTAAGTATATGCTTGTCAATGTTACATTTTTGGGAATACAAAGTAATATTTTGTAGTCGGGAAATGATATTTAAACTGTCAGGGTATGAGATTAATGTATTCATTTTAGTTTGATACCATGTTAAAATTGGAGTTGAAATACACATTCATACATATTCATTGAAAAGTACCTGCATTTGTAATAAAAATTTCAATTTGTTTCTTATAAAAGCTTTTCACCAAAATCGTTTATGGGCAGAAGTCATCTCCAAACCCTAAATTAGTACAAACAATGCGCCTATTCATGCTGAATTTGCAGCCAGTGAAGTGCAAGGGAAAAAGGAGGCAGATTGTTTGCCCTTTTGTTTGGGTGCCCTTCCCATCCCCTCCTATTTGTGCGGTCACGGTTAAGCCACGTTAACATTTTATATTCCTATTGCTTTTTGTCTTATTATCTCTATAAAAAAAATCAATATAAAATGTTAACGTGGCTTAACCATAACTGCACAAAATAGAAGGGAATGAAAAATGCACCCAAACAGAAGGGCAGACAATTTGCCTCCAGGGAAAAAATATGCATTGTACCAAATATTATAATTTGTCTTTGTCCCCAAGTTGATAGGTGGCAAAATAGACAGCCCCTTACGTACATATTGTTAGTTGACAACGTCTCACTCCAAATTACGCGTATCATTTTTTTTTTACACAAACAACAGAATATTTAATGTCTCTAAAACTATATATTTTTTGTTTGAGAAATGTAGCACAATATTTTACAACATTGACATAAAAATTAAAGTTAAAATATGAGGTGGTAAAAAATTCATAGAGAATCCTGTTTTGAACAAAATCTACTTATAATTTCTCTTTTTGTTTTCCATCTTAAATTTCTTAGTAGTATTACACTTGGGCCATCTCCAATGGAGATAGCTAAAGGTCCAAAAGTCAAAAAATGGTTTGATTTGTCCAAAAACTCATTTTCAACCGATGGCTAGACTATAATTCTATGGAGACCACCAGATTATTATTTGGCCGAAGGGGCATCAAGTTGGCCAAATGTAGCCCCCTCTTAGCCCTCTTTTTTTTGTTCAGCTCTACAGTTGCAATAATTGATTCAAATTCAACAGTTATATTTAAAAACATCAAACAGTAGTTTAACTAAATTAATCAATAAATTTAAAGTATAAACTTAAAACAAACGAATTATTGAGGGGGCTATGTTTAGCCCCTTCGGTTGAAGACGATATATGAGCATGTCATGACACTATTCATATAAAAATAATTTTTTGTAGGACTATAATTCTGGACGGAACTATGTTTAACTCTTTCGGTTGGAGATGGCCTTATCATCTACTTATACCATTATTTGTACCATCTCTCTAATAGATGTAAATATTGCTAACGCATGTAGGTCTCATCTCTATTAGCGAAATGATACAAATGATAGCATTTTTGTTAATTTCTAGCTAAAAGCCTTAAGGTATCGTTTGGTATGCAGACGGGACGGGACGGAACGGAATGGGACGGGACGGGACGGGACAGGATGGAACGGAACGGAGCCGGAGCAAAGATGCCCTCAGATGGAAACAAGGAGGAAGAAGAAGGAGACGGAGAGGTTATAATTTTGTGTTCCACGGATGTGGAACGAGTCGTTCCAGGGGGTGAGGTGGAACGAAAATTCACTCAAAACTCGTCCCGTGGAACAACTTGTTCCACTCATTTTAGGCGCACCAAACGTGGGACGGAACGCCCTGTCCCACTCTGTTCTGTCCCGTCCCACGTACCAAACGGTACCTAAGGATCCCTTTTTTTTTTTTTTTTTTTGGCAAACAAATAACACATGTCATTTGAAAATGTGAAAAGACTTGCAAAGGTTACTAGCATTCCTTTTGTTTGTTTAACTATATGTTGATATCGAAAAACTGCTCTATTCCATAAATAAGCAATGGATCAACTCTTTAAAAGCCAAAAAGGACTCTTCTGCTAGGATTTGGATTCTATTTGGATTCAAATTGTGCGAATCCTATGGATTCTTACATTTTAGTCATTTACATTGTGAAGTCAGAAATTATTTGACATTTTTTTAATTTAAAATTAAACCAAATAGTACATGACGAAAACTGATCATACATATACGATGAACGACTAGAATGTGAATATTCCTAGAATCCCCGGAAAAAGGATGTGGAGTCCTTATCCCCTTCTGCTAAACCATAACAACATTGCACAACCTCGTGTCGTGTCAGAAGTTCAAGGGTTCGCGTCCATTTTTGGGATCGAAGTAGGAGGCTCTAATTGTTAATGGATTAAGACTTAATAGGAGGCTCCAATTATTTTACCTCAGCAACAGCATTTTTACACATTAGTTTACCACAAGGAAAAAACTTTACTTGTTCGTACAAAAAAAGGTGGGATGTTTTGGACTACAATAGATGACAATGTACCAGAAATAATTGCTATGTCTAAAAGAGAAGGTAAAGAGTGTTGTACTGAAAACATCTAAAGTTTCCAAATCCAAAACTAACCTCACTAATTGCAGTTAGGGCTTCACTGATGCTAAAAGATAGAGATCAAACATTTTGCGACAGATGTTTCAACCATAACGAACTACAAACAGAAATTCGGTGATTTCTGCCATTCAATGTTTCTATCAACAAAAAATAATCACTTCGACGATTTCAAGTCACTATTTGGACAAGATGTCTTTGAATGACACCCTGATACGAAGTTCTTCAGACTCCACAGAAAAGATTCAAGCTTCAGGTGTTTAAGCAAGGTAGAACACAAAGAACAAGCAAACCCGCCTGGTAAGAAGATAACCCGAATCTACGCTGTCCTGGTCTATTTCGATCTAGGGTTGGTGGATCGGATTGCAGTGAGAGCGTAGAACCAGTCAGGCGTTTAAGTACTACTAAGGTTTAAGATGACTTAGTTTAATGACTGCGCAAACTGAGGATGGCAGCTTGGGACACATTTTCTAGCTCTTACCTAACTTAGTAACTCATATACCCACAGGACCCCAATTGCCATAACTAGTATGACAAGATAAATGTGACATTTTCAAAGTGCACCGACAAACTCTTTTCTCTGCTGTACGGTATGCATCGAATAAAAGTACGATTGGATGTGCGATAAAGGATCCAACGGCCAAAAACCCCGGTGTATACTATACTCTGTATGCCAACATCCAAGAAACCAAAATGTGATCAACATTACGATGTGGTATTCATCCACAACAACCCATTGAGACTGAAAAGATAATGAATATGAAAAAAAATAAGCATTAAAGCTAAATAATAAAAAACAAGGCATCTGAGATTCTTAGTCTACTAACATACATGATTTGGCAGCATAAGCAACAGTTGCAGAATCTCAAACCCCTTAAACATTACTAAATATTGCTAATCAGAAGAAACCCGAAATCTAGAACAACGTACCGAAAACCCGAATTCTTTCTTCATCTTCAAGAAGGAGAAGGAAACCGAATTTCCTCTGCCCTCCGAATCGAAACCATTTTAAGCTCTTCCACCACCTACATTCCCATTTTGTTCTTATTACCGTAATCTAGCTCAAATCAGATGCGTCTCTGGATCAAATCCGAGCACTTGGGAAAGAATCAATTATGGGATTCGTTCCTCTTCCCAATTCCTTCCCCTTCCCTCTCCTCCATGAGCCTGCTGGCCTCCTCGTCGTGCTGCGCCGTCTTCTTCTGCGCCTCCTTGGCCTTCAGAGCCTGCAATTTGGAGTGGTTGTAGTAGGCAACGCCCAAAAACGCCAGGCCGTAGCCGAACAGATTGATCGGGGTCACGGTGTCCTTGATCACGGACCACGAAAAGGCGATCAGGAGCCAGTCTTTAACCACTCCGGCCACATTCATCGTCAGCGCCGAGGTCTTTCCGACGAGCAAGAACACGGCGAGATTCAGAGCAAATGCGCAGATAGAATTGGTCCCAAAAATCAAGAAATCGAAATGGAAGCTCGACGAATCGCGCAGAACCGGGTACTCGACGAAGATCCAGGGGACGAAGAGGAAAGCCAAGCAGCAAGGCGCGACGTAGTAGAGAGATGTGATGGGGTTAAGGGTAATGCCTTTGGATGTGAGGAGGATCTGGATCAAGACAAGGCGGGTGGCCTCGAATGCGACGGCGCCGAGCTGGAGGATGACGCCCCAGGTGTCGAATCGGGCCTCGCCGTAGGCGGCGATGGCGACGCCGATGGAGATGGAGATCATGTTGACCATGGTGTCGGTCTTGAAGGACTCTTTTTTGAAGGAGACGCCGATGGAGTAGACAGCGACGGGCATGAGGGCCTTGAGCATCTGGATGAAGGAGACGGAGAGGTAAATGTAGGCGGAGTTGGAAAGCCAGAGGGAGAGGGAGTAGAGGGCACCGATGGGGACGACGGAGGAGAGGTAGAGGTCGCGGGACATGGTGACGGGCTCGACGAGGCGGAAGACTCGGACGAGGAGAAAGGCGAGGGAGGCGCAGAAGGACATGTGGATCATGGTGAGGGAGATGGGGAAGGGCCAGTTGTACATCTTCCTGTCGAGGATGTATTTGTTGTAGACGATGACGCTGAAGGAGAGGAAGATCCAGATGGCGACATAGGTGTAGGAGAGGAGGATCTTTTTTATCACGCTCTCGCTCAGGGAGCCACCCTTGCCCATTTTTGAGGTGGGTTTTCGGCGGTGGTGGGGGTAGTTGCGGTGGCGCCTGTGGTGGTGGGGAAGAAGGGGAGAGAAGGGTGGCGGGGGAGTGGTAAGGAGGAGGAGGAAGAGGAAGAAGTCAGATTCAAAGTGATAAAAGAAGGGAGTGAGAACTGGATTTTAGTGAGAGAAATGGGGGAAATATAATATTAAATTTGGGAGTGTATTTGGTGTGGCAGTTTAATGGGATGGGGTTCATGGGTATACTGAGGTTTATATAGTGTGGAGTTGGATGGGGAAGGAACCCAGGGGTTCAAGTGGTATTTGGCCTTTCAAAAAGATTGAATTTCTTGATTTTTATTTGTAACAGAAGATAGTATTTATATTAAAAGTGTAGAAGAGTTGACTAAATTTTACAATGAATTTGTCATAAAAATTGTGATTTAACTTCGTCTTTTATAACTTAAGATTTCTCATTTAAAAATAAAAAGAAATATTAATAAACCATAATAGTAGCGAATGTCTTGATTTGTTAAGTAGGAAAAATAAAATATCCTATAATTTTGTTTGTTATCTACTTATTTGTACTTACATAGAATTTTTTTAATATGATCCATGTACAATTTTTTTTCTACAAATAGAAGTGTTATCGAGTTAACTTGTTAATTATTGCATAAGGGTTTATAGACGTATTATTTTCTATCATTATGGTAAAATACGTATGAAAATGTTTATTTATTTATTGTACAATTATGCATTCGATGTAGTCACTATTTTTGGGGATTTGGATTTAATTTGTACTTTTATCGTGGGACTGGGAGGGTGGAGAGTTGGTGATATGAAACTTTGAAACGTACATATATTATTATTAGGGTTGCATTAATCTAAAGATAACATAATATATAGTGCAACTGCTAATGGGATTTTCTGCATCTATTAGTGGCATGTATATATAAACTAACATAAGATATTGTCATATAAAATCTAACATAACATGTTTTATTTGTTTGTAGTTATGCATCTTATGATAAATACAAAACGAAACAAAAAAAAAAAAAAATGCTACACACTTTACGATTTGTTAATTTGAGCATCTTGTATCTTTTTCCCAAATAAAAGCCTCCTTGTTATTATAATAATAAAGTCAATATTTCTTGTTCATAATGTGGATGTGTTTTTAAATTTGTACCCCATTTAGTACTACGGTTTAATGATATTCTTTTAGATTGAATTTGAACCACATTATTACTAGATCATTGTGAGGCTTAGCCTACTCTCCTACTTTTTTAATGTAGATAATATCGTTTGTTTAAAAAAAAATTCACTTAATAATACAGTTTAATGGTTTTTCTTTTACTTGTAAGTAAGAGATCTTACGTTCGAATTTTGAAAATAGCAAATTCCCAACCAATTTATTATCACATCCTCTTAGTGTAAATATATCGTTGTATTAAAGAAATTTGTTCTATCATTGCTATTATTCTTAACATTTATCCTTTTGTATTTATCTATAGCTATCCTTTCAGCAAACATAAAATTACTTTGCAAAAGTATGTGTCCAATACTCTAGTAGATAGGGTGTTGAGTTTCAAACCATGCCAACTTCCCCCTCATCTAAATTAATTTAATGTTGTGGCTTATTACAAGGGAAAGCGGGAGGCACGGCATCAAAAAGAGAATAGAGTGAGAGATGTCGGTTGTGTAGAAGATGTATTATTCCTCTTACGCAATGCCTTTATTTATAGTAATAAGGGAGGGAAAAATCCTTCTCCTCTAAAGAATACAAGTCCTAATAGAGAATAATAACTAATATCAAATCTAATCTCGGATTTACACAATCACACTTTTAATACAATGTTTATAACATGTAATACTTTCGAATCCTCTCACCGATTCCCAACTTTAGCTCATGTCTTTATATATAAAAAAAAAGATTAAAAAAAAAAAAAAACTTTAGCTCATGTCTTACGTTCGTTCTCTCTACCCCAGTATGATTTATATAAAAATAATTGTGTACTTTTTTTGAAACAAAGGTACGATATTCATTAAGCAAATCAAAATTCTTACAAACTGAGGATAATGTGCATAATGGGTCTCGATAAAAACCTTGCTGGGGATTTCAACCCGATCGAAGGAAAACAGTGTCCCGCACAACAATAAACCTATCCTCAAATGAACAATCAAACTTACAATCCTTCCTAAAAAAGAATATCATGAATCAGATCTGGAGGCTCCTCGAACCATACCACCTCCTGGTCACTAGTAATCCCTAATCGAGCAAATCGATGCGCCATTGAATTTCCTTCTCATTGGGCATGACTAATCGTCGAACTTGACAACTACATAAGAAGGCACCGCAAGTCATTTATAATGGGACCAAAAACAGAGTTGTCATCTCCTTGGCCCTTTATGGCTGTCAATACCAAAACCGCATCACCTTCAAATTGAACTTGCACTTCGCCCGAGTATAACCTTTTGACCAGCAGTACAGCTTGTCTAGCTACCATAAACTCTGCATGTAAGGCAGACATAGTCCTTTCAATGGGACCTGCTGCAGCATTGAGAAACTCCCCTAACTAGTTATGTATCACCATTCCAAACCCACCCTGGTTCTACCATTGATTCCATGCTCCATCAAAATTGCACTTGACCCATCCCTCCTCAAGTTTTCTCCACTTCTGTAACTCACGTCTTCCCTTTTTTGCATTTGTATTATGGCACCTGTGGAATTCTTGTAACCAACCTTCAGTTCAAAGCACATTCTCTACAGGGTTTAGAGGACTACCAGTCCATAACACTTCATTCCGGTGTTGCCATAGTGACCAGATCAACATTAAACATAGATCAAATCCCGATCCATGACCCTGTATATGAAGATTGGCTAACCAATTCATAAAATTCACACCGTGCCCAGCATCCACACGTAAGCCCAAGCCTCAAAACCACATCGTTCTAGCTGCTTGACAATCCCGCAAGACATGCTCCACGGATTCCACCTGACATCCACACACTACACATCCATCCTTGATTGGCACTCTCCGCTTAGAAAGATTTAATCTTGTAGGCAAATAATCCAAACATGCGCGCCATACACAAATCTTTACTTTCCCAGAGACACAAGCCGAGCACAATTTCTTCCATAACTTCTCCCCACTGTTAATAAAAATGGAATGAGAGCCTACATCCCTTTCCCCACTAACTGCAATTATCCCCTAAGCAACATGATAAACACTCCGAACCATAAACTTCCCATGTCGATCATAATACCAAACTCTTCTATCGGCAATATTACTTAAGCTAAATGGGATCCCTCGAATTAATTCCACTTCCTCCTGGGAGAAAATCTCATTTAGCAGTCGCACATTCCACTGCTTAGGTTCCACCCACAACAATCCCTCCACCGTGGCTTCATCATTCCAATGTACGGGTGGCGGGGTCAAAATCCGAAGGCATGACTCCCTTGGCACCCAATTATCCTTCCATATACGAACTGTCTTCCCATCACCCACTTGCTACCGAAGTCCTTTTTGAAGCACCGGTCTCAAGGCAACAATACTGCGCTAGACATATGAACTATTAGATGTTACCCAAGCTTCAAGGAAATCTGTAGTAGGAAAGTACCGAGCCTTGAACACATGATACATAAGGAAATGCAACTTTTCTCAAAATTAACCACTTGTCCAAAGGCCAACTCATACGTCCCGAACACCTGTTTAATACTCTAACACTCATTAATGGTACCTGGGGCAAAAAGAAAACTATCATCGGCAAAAAACAAGTGGTGGATACTAGGAGCAGCTCGACAACTTTGATCCCCTGTAACTCTCCTTCAAACTTAGTCTTTGTCAATAGGGCTGAGAGGTCCTCTGCATGCATATCAAATAAAAAAGGGGAGAGATGATCCCCTTGGCGTATTCCTCTTTCTGGATACACGTAACCCACCGGGTCACCATTCAATTTAAATGAATAAGTCACCGTTAAAACACACCACATGACCATATGTATCCACCTTTCAGAAAATCCCAGTCTCTGCATCATGGCCTTTAGAAATTTCCATTCCACACAATCATAAGCCTTACTAATGTCCCATTTCAATGCCATAAGACCATTGGACCCCGAGGACCGTTATGCATATAATGAGCAACTTCAGCAGCTACCAAATAATTATCCGAGATTAAATGTCCCAGAGCGAAAGCACTTTAGGTAGGAAAAATAACCTGTGGGAGAATAAGCTCCAACCTATTCGTGAGAACCTTTGCCACTATTTTGTACAACACATTGCACAAACTAATAGGGCGAAGTTATGTCATCGTAACATCTTTGACTTTGGGAATTAATGTAACATGGGTATAATTGATTTTCTATAGAATATGGCTAGATAGGAGCATGGACCGAACCCCATTACAAACATCCTTGCTGACCACTCCCTAATGCTTCTGGTAGAATCCCGGTGACATACCCTCCAGTCTCAGCGCCTTTGTAGGATGCATCTGAAAGACAGCACACTTGATCTCCTCATCTGTGAACGGGCTTGTCAAGGAAAAATTCATCTCCTCCGTCACCTTAGGCATGATATGACACAAAATATCGTCAAAATTCTCCACTCCATTTGAACTAAAAAGTTTTGTGAAATGAGACACCACAACCTCCTCCATCCCCTACGGTCCTCACGCCAACTAGCATTATCATCCATTAACCCATATAAACAGTTTCGTTTTTGCCTCCTATTAGCCTTCTGATGAAAATACTTGGTATTGCGATCCCCAAGTTTAATCCAATTTTCCTTCAATCGTTGTCTCCAAAATTGCTCCTCTTGTTCAGGCAATTGGTTCAACTTCCCAATTAGCTCCTTTTTCTGCTTAATAGACTCATTAGTGAATGGTTGTCCCAACAAACTCGTAAGAATATCCTCCACCTCTCTAATTGCTTTTGGTCTCACCCTTACATTACTACGAGCCTAGTTATTGAGCTTCATCCTCGTCATCTTAATTTTCTCGGTAACCAGGAACATTGGTGAGCCCTCCACCTCCTGGGTCCATTCTTACTATAAATCAAAATGAAAAAAGGATATTTTTCATTATGGTGTAAGAAAAAGGTTTTATTTGTAATTTTATTATTTGTTGCAAACTTTATTACTACCTAAACTGCACCAATAATAAAAGGTTAAAGGTCTAATTTAAGACACCATGAGTTAAAAGAAAAAAGACCTAATTGGGCGACCCACCACTTATAGTTTTCAAAAAGTTCATAGTAAAT